TTGTAGAGATGGCATCTTACTATGTTGACCAGGCTGCTCTCGAACTCCTGGGCTCAAGCTATCCTCCTGCCTCAGCTTCCCGAAGTGTTGAGATTACAGGCATGAGCCACTGCACCTGACCTTATTGATGCGATTTTTAAATTTCTTCTTTTTGTACTGAAATATTTTATTCAGTAGCAGTGCCGAGAAGTCCTGAGTGTGACATACCAGATTATGTGGTTGTTCCTGCTTGGAAAGATCAGATGCTGAGAGGCTGTGGTGGCCCCAGAGAAAGGGCAGGGTTGGGTCTGTTCAGCCTCAGGTGCTTCACTGCCGGCCCTAAGCATGGCGAGTGGGGTTCAGAGCAACAGCACCTTGTGGGTGGAACACCCCAGGTTCCTTCCTGTCTCTCCTGTGGTCCTCAGCTTATGAAGCTCCAAAGCCACAAACTGGCCTTTTCCGCTCCACTGTGGACAGTGTGTGGCCTTCCTGCCTGCAGGCGGCTCACAAGGGGTGGGAACATGGGGAGATCACATCCGTTGGGGGACATGGTGCCTTCCTGCTTCTTGGGGAAAGCTGATTGATCCCTCCAGCAGATAAGTTCCTCTCTAAGTGGAAATGTCTTACACTGCTTATCATGAAGGTTTCCAGGCATTCCTAGAAGTAGGAGGAACCAACATGATTGCCTGAAAGCACTGTGTCGTGATGATTGTGTGGAACCGTGTCATGATTGTGTGAAAGTGCGGTGTTGCGGTGATTGCGTGGAAGTGTGGTGTCATGATTGCGTGGAAGCGTGGTGTGATTGCGTGGAAGCGTGGTGTCATGGTGATTGTGTGGAAACGTGGTGTCTGTGTGGAAGCATGGTGTCTGCGTGGAAGCGTGGTGTCAGGGTGATTGTGTAGAAACATGGTGTCGCAGTGATCGCATGGAAGCATGGTGTCGTGGTCATCACGTGGAAGCGTGGTATCATGTAAATCTCACAGTGATGGGCACGCTGCTGCACAGCAATCTGCACTTTTTGCAGGAGTACTTTTTTTAATTACCAGACCTCATGATCCTCCACATCTAAATCTGTCAGAATGCATCACCCTCAAAAGCACATTTTGGGCAGAGCGCAGTGGCCCATGCCTGTCATCCCAGCACTTTGGGAGGCCGAGGCAGGTGGATCACCTGAGGTCAGAAGTTCAAGACCAGCCTGGCCAACATAGTGAAACCTCGTCTATACTAAAAATATAAAAATTAGTCGGGCATGGTGGCAGGCACCTGTAATCCCAGCTACTGGGGAGGCTGAGGCAGAAGAATCGCTTGAACCCAGGAGGCAGAGGTTGCAGTGAGCCGAGATCATGCCACTGCTCTCTAGCCTGGGCAGTGGAGGAAGATTCTGTCGAAAAAAAAAAAAATCAAAACTATATGATAAGAAATAGATAGCAAACTCACAAACTAATACTCCCAGCTCTGGCCTTGACCCCATTCCTCCTCTCTAATAATGATGATCATTTTTATTAGTTTTTGCTTTATCCTCATGTTTCTTTCTGCAAACATGAGCAAAAATGTATACAAATCGTATTTTTCTCCCTGTTTTGCACAAAAGGTGCACGCTATGTGGGTTGCTTTTTTGGCCACCAGTAGATCCTGGAAGCCTCTCCTCTTCAGCACACAGAGGTTGTTCTCATTCTCTTTACAGCTGCAAGTGTCTCCCCGCACAGATGTACTGCAGGCCGTGCAGCCAACCATAGCTGATGGATGTTTGGGTCGTTTCCAGCATATTGTCTCTGCGTATACTACACAATGAATACTCTGATGCATATGTTACTTTGCACATATCTAAGCAGAATTTTTAATGCAATTGCAACACATTGTGTTGTGCTTTTTCCAGTGAGACTGTTGCAAGCTTTGCCACTGAATGTCTCAGGGCCCCAAGCTGTTTCCACGTAATTTCCCTCCCTCCCCAAAATGTGTAGGAAAGGCTTGAGCGAAGCTTTTCTGATCATACCGCATCACTGCGGAACTGCAGCTCTAGCGTTTATCAGCCTGGGTCCTGGTGCACCACAGAATTGTGTGGATGCAGGGGCCAAGGGCAGCAGTGATGGGAGCTGCAGACCTGGCATGGTGGTGTCTGGGGCTGCGGTAACAAATTACCACAAACCAGGTGGGTTACAACAATAGAACTGTCTTCTGTCCCAGCTCTGGGAGTCAGAGACATAAATTCAAGGTGCCGGCAGGAACGGTCTCGCTTGGGAGGTTCTAGAGGAGAACCCGCTGCCTGCCTCTCTCCTGTTTCTTGGCCTGTAGCTGCCTCACTCCAGACTGCACCTCCGTTGCCACATGGCTCCTCCCTGCACTTGTGTGTCTCAAATATCCCTCTCCCTTTCTCTCTGTTTTGAAATTTTGGAGAGCCTCGCTCTGTCACCCAGGCTAGAGTGCAATGGTGCGATCACAGTGCACCACAGCCTCAAACTGCTGGGCTCAAGCGATCCTCACACCTTAGCATCCCAAAGCCCTGGGATCATAGGCATGCATGACCACACCCAGCCCTGCCTGTCTCTTATGAGGGCCTCTGTCTTTAACTTACATGTACAAAGACCCTATTTCCAAATAAGGGCCCATTCACAGGTCCCAGGTGGACATGTCTTTTGGGGGCCGCCATTTGACCCCCTGCACCTGGTGAGGCCCCCCTGGCCAACAACATCAGGAGCCTTCCCCACACTAGGCTCAAAGGAGGAAGGTCAATGGGGTTACCAGGCCAGGAAGAGGGGCTGGAGTCCCGCAGGAGGAGCCCAGCTTCTGCCTCAGCACAGCATTGGACAGGGGCTGGGAGGCCTAGACCCCCTCCCTCTCTCCTCCCATCAGCCAAACCCAGCAGGAACCAGAAGACAAGGGTGCCTGGGAGATGCGACCTTTTGGGGCCTCCAGGCTAAAAAGCAGGGCAGAGAAGAGCCAGACATGGTTCAGAGAGGGCTGGACACCAACCTTCCCGCGTGTCCCCCCACGCCCACCCCCCCGGAAGCTGCGCCAGGTCACTCCCAGCCCCGATCTGTTGTTCCAGGCAGTCGACTACGAGCTCAACAGAGCCTTCATGCTCACGGTGATGGTGTCCAACCAGGCGCCCCTGGCCAGCGGGATCCAGATGTCCTTCCAGTCCACGGCAGGGGTGACCATCTCCGTCATGGACATCAATGAGGCTCCCTACTTCCCCTCAAACCACAAGCTGATCCGCCTGGAGGAGGGCGTGCCCCCTGGCACCGTGCTGACCACGTTTTCGGCTGTGGACCCTGACCGGTTCATGCAGCAGGCTGTGAGGTAGGTCCACAGGACACGCCTCGTCCCTGCCTGCAGCTTCCCGGGTTCCACACAGAAGGGTCCAGAAATACCCCATGAAACCCACAGCCCAGAATTCCCCCAGATGGGTGGTCGGGGGCATCCCCAACCTGAGGCACCCTCCAGGAGGGAGCAGCAGCCCTTAGTCCCGGATAGCCAGATGCAGCCCCTGACCAATCATGAGTGTTGTGACTGGCGCTTGCACATTCAGCACTGTCCAGATGCAGGCCGGCCCCGATCCTGGCTGCACTCTCATAGCCATGAGACTCAGCAACCTCCTGCCCTTTCTGTTCCTCAGTGTCCTTGTCCGTTCGATGGGGACGATGAGGGCATCTGCCCATTGGGTCCTTCTGAGTTGAGGCCACCCACTACTGGATGAGCTCGGTGCCCGTAGGCCACAGGCCTGTCCTGTGATGTAGCGGGGGCAGTCCAAGGTAGAGGGGAAGCCCTAGAGGAGGGCAGGGCCTGGGGGTCTCCAAGGAGACGGAGACACTGGCCCAGGCCCAGGCCCTGGAGGTGTGGCCAGTGCAGCTGCCTGATCGGGGCCACGGAGGCCTGGGATCCAGGGTGGCCCCGCCCACCCCAGCCTTACCTCCCCCCGCACTTGTGGTCTCCACAGATACTCAAAGCTGTCGGACCCGGCGAACTGGCTGCACATCAACACCACCAACGGCCAGATCACCACAGCGGCAGTGCTGGACCGAGAGTCTCTCTACACCAAAAACAACGTCTACGAGGCTACCTTCCTGGCAGCTGACAATGGTGTGGCCCCCTCCCAGGAGGCAGCTATCTCGGCGGCCTTCCCGCGTCCTGGTTCTGTGGGCGAGGGCGGGCACTGGCCAGGCCCCGAGAGGGCAGCAGGCATCCAGAGGGTCACCCGGAGGTGCTGAGGGGAGATCTGCACAGACAGTGGTGATCAGGGTTGCATCATCTCAGGGCCCCCAGGCCATGCTCCACCTCCACCCATTCCCGTGTCAGTCATTGATTCCGCCCCCTCCCCAGCATTCACTTGCTTGCTCGAAGGTGTGCCCCGTCCATCCCCCCAACGTCACTCACCCACAGGCTCCAGGGGCATCAGGGCACTGGTCATCCCAGCCTTGTCCCTGCTGCACTCTGCAACCTGAACTGCATCTCAGTTTTGCTGCCTGTAAACTGGGGCATTGGAACCAGGTCCACAGTTTTCAAATGCTTTTAGCTGGCAGCCCTTGCCACAGACCCCGTCCTGTGGGGAAGGCCCAGCCCCACCGGTCAGCAGCCCCTGGGGTACCACCCTCGTGGCTCTGACCACCCACAGCGCAGACCCCTGTGGCCCTCAGTCACAACAGGAAGCATGAGACCCTCCAGGACCCTGGGAGTCCAGAGGGCAGCGGCAAGGTCCCGGAGCAGGTGGCACGGCAGACGACCTCAGGAGCCTGGATGGGAGGGCGAGGATGGGCTGTGCAGAGGCAGCAGGAAAAAGGTTTGAGAGCACGCGGGACCTTCTGAGGGACGTGGGCTGGCATCTCAAGGAGTGGCCACCCCTTCCTGGACCTGCAGTAATCCTGCGAGCCGGCCGAGCCCCCACAGGTCGCACGCTCTCAGAGGCATGGAGGCAGGGTGGGTGGGAGCAGAGATTCTAAAATCGAAGATCAGTCCAGTACCACCGCTTCCCAGTGGGAAAAGACCTGACCTCTCTGTGCCTCAGTTTCCTCCTTTGCCAAGTTGGGGGAGTCTTAGTACCCCTGAGAATCAAACGAGTCTGAGTCATCAGAGCACTGAGGAAGGGCCTGACTCAGGGCAGCATGGGCTCCTGTTTGCTGTGGCCGTGATGACTGCCCGGCCTGCTTTTCACTGAGTACCGGCCGAATGCCTGCAGCTGCTCATCGGTGAGCAGCATACGGCGATGCCCGGCCCTGGCGTGGCTGACAGCCCGAGTGTGTCGGCTGGAACCCAGGTCAGTGAATACCGATGGAGGAAACTGCAGCACGATTGAGGCTTTTTTTCCTCTCACGTCCAAGAGGCCTGGAGGCAGGCAACCCAGGGGCAGATCCCAAACCCGGGGCTCCGACTGTGCCATGTCATGGTCCAGAATGGCTGCTGGAGCTCCAGCCATCACAGCCACGTTCTGGCAAACAGAAGGCCTTGTGGGGAGGGCACAGGCACACACCTGCTCTACTAAGCACTTTCAGAAAGCCCCATGCAAGTCCTCCACCCACAGCTCACAAAGCCCAGAACTTACTGATGCCACCACCCCTAGCTGCAAGGGATGCTGGGAAATAGGGTCTTCTAGGTGGACAGTGATGATCCCAGACAAAATGTAGGACTCTGATTATTTTATTAAAAGGAAGCAGAAAATGGATATTGGGGATGACTCAGCAGTGTCTGCCCCAGGGAGACCGGAGAGAAACCAGTCACACAGATGATTCAGGCAACAAGAAGAGCTAGGAGAAAACAAAACCGGTGGCTGGGAGGCAGTGACCAGGGGCTCTGCCCTGAGGAGCTGACCTTGGGACCAAGAGCTGTGGAACCAGAGAAGCAAGCAGGGGAAGGTGGGGTGGCAGAGGAGAGTCACAGAGTCGGGAAACGGTGTGCGCAAAGGCCCCGAGGCGGGGCCATGCCTGGTGGGCTCTTGGAACGGCTGTGCATGAAGCCTCATGGGCAAAGGTCGTCACTGCGCAAACGCTCGTCCCATAGCAGGTGAAAACAGGACGTGGTCACCTCCCTGCCAGCCTCCCCAGCCATCGCCGCCTCCTCCGCCGGGGTCCACAGAGCCAGGGCCGTGTAGCTGTGCAGCTACCTGTGAGCCCAGGGCCCTGGTCAGGGGAAGCGTCTCCCCTTGACGGCCCTCCTGCGGCAGCTCAAGCCCTGAGGTTAAATTAGAAAGTGATTGTGGGGCCGGGCGCGGTGGCTCAAGCCTGTAATCCCAGCACTTTGGGAGGCCGAGACGGGCGGATCACGAGGTCAGGAGATCGAGACCATCCTGGCTAACACAGTGAAACCCCGTCTCTACTAAAAAATACAAAAAACTAGCCGGGCGAGGTGGCGGGCGCCTGTAGTCCCAGCTACTCGGGAGGCTGAGGCAGGAGAATGGCGTAGACCCGGGAGGCGGAGCTTGCAGTGAGCTGAGATCCGGCCACTGCACTCCAGCCTGGGCGACAGAGCGAGACTCCGTCTCCAAAAAAAAAAAAAAAAAAAAGAGATTGTGAGCCTGGGCTGGGCCCAGTGGCGCACACCTGTAATCCTAGCACTTTGAGAGGCCAAGGCAGGTGGATCATGAAGTCAGGAGTTCAAGACCAGCCTGGCCAACGTGGTGATACCCCATCTCTACTAAGAAAATACAAAAATTAGCCAGGCGTGATGATGCATGCCTGTAATCTCAGCTATTCGGGAGGCTGAGGCAGGAGAATCACTTGAACCTGGGAGGCGGAGGTTGCAGTGAGCCAAGATGGCGCCATTGAACTCCTGCCTGGGCAATAGAGTGAGACTCTGTCAAAAAGAAAAGAAAAGAAGAAAGAAATAAAAAGAGATTGTGAGGCCGTAGCTGGACGAAGCATCCATCGCATGTGGCAGATGCCATGTGAGTGAGCCTGGGTGTGCAGGCCGGAGTAGGAGCCCTCCAGTTAACAGAACCTGTCTGTGCTTCTCCGATCACGGGCTGTGCCCTCAGCGACATCTCAAAGTAGTTTTCAAAGGTAGCGCCGCCCTGCGTCCCCTTAAATGTGTTTTGATGCAGCTTCCAGAAGATTCAAGAGACATCCTGTGGGATATATTTTTACATGCTTCGCCTGCCTCAGTCAAGACACGTGGTTGTTAATGTCAGGTCAGGAGCTGCCATTGGGGCAAAGCCACAGTCAGAACCTGCCGCTGCCGCCGCCGCCTCCAAGCCTGAAGAGCAGACAGGGCATCTGTGTCCCCAGATTCCAGCCGCCTGGCCTGCATCCATCAGCACTGCTGGCTTGGGCTGAGGCGGGGGCTGAGCACGTGAAGGCCCCAGGGACAGGGATGGCCCCTGAGGAGCTCTGGGGGATCAGCAGGCACCTCCCTCCATGCTGAGGCCAGAGGTCATCGGGTCCTCCAAGGAGACTTCCTGCCGGGCCAGGACGGAGCTTCCATCAAAGCTCATCGGGAGCGGCCGCACCTGCCTTTCTCACAGACACTTCCAAAGGCAGCAGTTCTTCCACGCGATCATGGGCTCAGGGCTTCCAGCACCCTGGGGCTCTGCTGGGTGGGGCCAGCAAAACTCCAGGAGGCAAGGAAAGGTTTTGCCCTAAGTCCCAGACGAGGGCAAGCTGTGGTGGGTGGGTCCAGGGGCCAGTGCAGAGCCCAGCACCCTCAGAACCCCTCCCTGGCTCCCCCGCGGGAGTGAGTCCCCAGTGCGTGGCTGTGACCTCAGTGGCTCTGAGTTTAACTGTGCATTGGTGGAGGGCATGTGGCGAGGGCTCCACGCGAATGCCGCACCCCGCTGTGTGCGTGTGTGCAGCGGTGGGTGTGAGTGTGGCCATGTGCTCTGCGGTGTCTGTTGAGATGCCGTACGCAGTGACTGTGGGTGTGTGTGCAGCTGTGGGTGTGGGTGTGGTCGTGTGCTCTGGGATGTCTGTTGAGGCGCTGTACACAGTGACTGTGTGCGTGTGTGCAGCTGTGGGTGTGAGTGTGGCCATGTGCTCTGTGGTGTCTGTTGAGATGCCGTACGCAGTGGCTGTGTGCGTGTGTGCAGCGGTGGGTGTGAGTGTGGCCGTGTGCTCTGCAGTGTCTGTTGAGATGCCGTACACAGTGACTGTGCAGTGACTGTGGGTGTGTGTGCAGCTGCGGGTGTGGGTGTGGCCATGTGCTCTGGGATGTCTGTTGAGGCGCTGTACACAGTGACTGTGTGCGTGTGTACAGCTGTGGGTGTGAGTGTGGCCGTGTGCTCTGCAGTGCCTGTTGAGATGTCATACACAGTAGTGTGGCTGCCCATGGCGTGTGGCAGGGTGTCAGGAGCCATGGCTGGGCTGTGGGTCAGTCCCTGTGCAGCTGTGTTGGGGGGTGGCCGGCCGTGGCCGGCTGGGGGGCTGTAGATGTGTCCCTGTATATGTTGTGTGTGGTTGTTTGTGTGCGTGTCCTGTGTGGAGCTGTGGGTTGGTCGTGGAGTACCAGGAGTGGCCCGTGTGGTGACCTGTGTCTGTTCCACAGGGATACCCCCAGCCAGCGGCACCGGAACCCTCCAGATCTATCTCATTGACATCAACGACAATGCCCCTGAGCTGCTGCCCAAGGAGGCGCAGATCTGCGAGAAGCCCAACCTGAACGCCATCAACATCACAGCGGCTGACGCCGACGTCGACCCCAACATCGGCCCCTACGTCTTCGAGCTGCCCTTTGTCCCGGCGGCTGTGCGGAAGAACTGGACCATCACCCGCCTAAACGGTGAGTCCGCCTTAGGCCACGGGGAGGGTCAGACCAGCCTGGGTTGCAGGCCCCTGGGAGACCCAGCTGGCCTTGGAAGAGTGAACACCAGAGGTGGGCGACGGCCCTCCAACAGGACTGTCCCACCAAGGCTGGGGACACTGGCCACGCTTCAGCTGCTCAGCCTTCTTCACCTGGCCCTGAGGAGGCCACCAAGTCATTCCCAATTTCTTGCTGCTTTAATGAGCCCAGCCGTGAACATCCTTGCAGCTCTGCCCATGTACATCCATGACAACTTCCTGTGCCAGTTATCCATGGACTGGACCCTGACCGATAATGTTTCCTTAGAATACTTCCTTGGATATGGATTTGTGGTATAAAAGGATATCAAAATTCTCAAGTTCTGGCAGTACGGTGAAAACGTGCTCTAGACATGTCTACTTCCATCGGGAGAGTGCCTGTTTTCTCAAACCCTACCAACACTGAACATTATTGTTTTAAAATAATATTGTATTCTGCCACCTTTAGGCCAAAGTCATTATTTCCATTTGTATATCTTGACTACCAGTGGAAATTTTTAAAAAATATTTATTGGCCATTTTTGTTTCTTCTGTGAATTGTCTGTTCAATGACTTTGCCTACGTTTTCTTTGGGGAGTTTCTTTTTATTGATTTGTTAAAACTCTTTATATATTCAGGAAATTATTTCTTCATCCTACATGTTGCAATTGCTTTTTGGTTGTGTCTCCAAGGCCTTTTTTTTTTTTTTTTTTTTTTTTTTTTTTTTGAGGCAGAGACTCACTCTGTTGCCCAGGCAGGAGTGTAGTGGCACAGTCTCAGCTCTGCAACCTCCACCTCCCAGGTTCAAGCAATTCTCCCACCTCAGCCTCCCAGGTAGCTGAGATCACAGGCTCATACCACACGCCAGGCTAATTTTTGTATTTTTTACTAGAGACAGGGTTTTGCCATGTTGACCAGGCTGGTCATGAACTCCTGACCTCAAGTGATCTGCTCACCTCAGCCTCCCAAAGTGCTGAGATTACAGGCGTGAGCCACCACACCCAACCTCCAATGTCTTTTAACTTAATGATGTGTGGTAACCAGACAGATATTTCAGATTTCCATGCCATTGGACTTAGTCTTTTCCTCTGGACATCTTGCTTGGAAGGGAGGGCCAGGCTCTGGCTGAATATTTGCTGTTCCTTTGCACCAGGTGACTATGCCCAACTCAGCTTGCGCATCCTGTACCTGGAGGCCGGGATGTATGACGTCCCCATCATCGTCACAGACTCTGGAAACCCTCCCCTGTCCAACACATCCATCATCAAAGTCAAGGTGTGTCCATGTGACGACAACGGGGACTGCACCACCATTGGTGCGGTGGCAGCGGCTGGTCTGGGCACCGGCGCCATCGTGGCCATCCTCATCTGCATCCTCATCCTGCTGAGTGAGTGTGGCTGAGCACCAGGGTGGGTGGGGGCATTGCAGATATGAGTGCCCTGTCCCAGGGATGGTGGGCAGAGTGGGGCCTGGGTTTCACCCTCAGCCCGCATCTCTCAGCCTTATCTGTCAGGAGTCCTTCAGAAATGCAGCTGAACTGGTCCATATGACAATGGGAAATTGGAGCCTCCCATTACTCTCAAGTCTGGAGGTGCAGGTTGGCCCAGGCATCTCCCAAGGCCTGGCCCCTTTCCACGGCTCCACTCTGCCTCCCAGAGCCCCTGTGTCCTGAAGCTGTTGCCCTCCAGGACCTGCGACGCCTATGGGCAGCTCCCAGGTGGACTTAGCAGAGGGAAGGTCAGCCCTGCCTGTTAGCATCCCCATCCAAAGTCCCAGGACACTCTCTGATTGGACGGGTTTGGGTCACATACACACCTTGGAGCCAATCACCAGCCAAGGAATGGAGTGTTCTCATTGGCTCTGCCCAGACCATATGCTCTAGTAGTTTCCTGAGTTTCCCAGAACCACATGGGTTCCCCAGCAGGCCTGAGGGCTGGGAGGGTGCCAGGGGAGCTGCTTGAAAATGACCCCAGAGGTCCCTCTTCCCATCATCCCTCATGGACAGTCGCCCTGGTCTGTGTTAGCCCAGGGATCCCAGTGGGAGGCAGGGCAGGGAAGGGTTCGGTCACCACCTCCCCAGTTCACACCCAAACCAGAGGGTCCCCCATCACGTCCAGAACAGGCTGAAGCAGGTGCCAGGCCCCTCCTGCAGATCTGGCCTGTAGCTGACTTAAGACCCCAGGGACCAACGTCAGCCCTGTCCAAAGGACGTCTGAGTTACGAGGACTCTGCTTTCTTCCCCATTTCCAGACCTATCACCCCTCAAAAAGCCGGTTTTTAATTCTGAGGCTTGTTTTGAAAGCCGTTCAGTGTCATGGGCTCCTTTGTATGATCAGGAGTGGAAAGAGCCCCACAGAGGTTGGGAAGAGTCTCCATAGCAAAGGTGGGGGCGTCCTCACCGACGTCCCCTGCTCTGAAGACACAGGGGCCAGGCCCAGCCAGTGGGCCCTCTGTGGGCAGGGCTGTGAGGCCTGATTCAGTCGGGTGCCTGGCCGGGGCGGGAGACCTGGGCCACTCGAAGTGGAGGGCAGCCACAGTGGGGCCGGGGCCAGGGTCAGCAGCAGATCCGCCTGCTGCCCGACTTCTGTCCATTCGTGGGCACCTCAGCCCTGGTGGGGTGAATGGGGGCACCCGGAGTGGCCTCCCCTCCTCCACACTCCTTCTCTCAACCCTCGCTCATCTTGTCTGCCCGGATGAGTCTGGGGTGCCAGCTATGAGAGTGGAGCTGACCCCTTCAAAGCTTCCGCTGAGCCAAGACTAGAGCAGGCTCCAGGTTCCAGGTTCTCACCGAGCCGCACCTGTAGCAGGTGGTTTCTCCCTCCGCCTGCCCTTCCCTCGCCACCATCTGGGCCAGGTCAGGAAGTATCCTCCAGCTGTCACCTCACCCTGCACAGGCAGGAGGGATGCCACCAGTACCCACAGAGCTCCTCCCAAGCCTCCGCTCAGCTTCAGAATCCTCCTCACGGCACTCAGGCAGCCACAGCCAGTTAATCGGGTTGGCAAAAAACAGCCCTCCTGATGGGGGGGTGGCCACCCCTCCCGCCTCCGGGCTCGCCCTCTGCAGTACATAAGAGCACACCTGTGACTTCTGGGCCTCAGCTGTTACATCTGTGACGTGGGAGGTGATGGGAGGCTTCGGGAGGATGCAGTGGAGTGGTTTGTGCAGACATTTACTGGGGGCGTGGGCCGCGTGACCTGCTCCTGGAGCCCGTGCCCGGTGCATTGCCAGGCTTGCAGATGGGTGCGCCAGGCTTTTCCTGCAGCAGAGGCAGCCAGGGGTCCAGAGTGAGCAAGGCTGTTTAGGGGAGCCAGGCCTGGACACGGACCTCGGAAGGCAGGGGGAGGCCAGTTCAGCTTGGGGGAGAGGGTCCCCTCCATCCACCCCACAAGGGGGCTTTACCTCTCTTCAGTTTCCACATGCACCTGAACTTCTAAGCCTGTCCCCCAACTCCTCTGGGTGGTGGAAAGAGCCCCTCTGAGTGACCCCTTGGTGCTGGGTGGGGCTGCCCTTCTGTCCAGCAAAGCCCTGGACTGACCCCGCCCCAAGGGCCCTCAGGAAGCAGGATCCCTGGATCCCCTCTCTGGGCCCCTCTCCTCCCCAGCCCCCTCCCAGGGCGGAGCCTCTTTCAATATGGGGGAGTCCATCTCCCTCCCTCAGTGATTCCTGCCAAGACACTGTGTGCCTAAAACCTCACTTCCACCTCCTTTGCCAAAGCCGTCTCCCCTCCTGCTGCTCAGAAGAGGGACTCAGAAAGACTTGGGGGTGCACCCCTCAGCCCCCCATGTCCTCCTGCCCCCAGGCGGTGAGGGGCGCCCTGAGCTGGCTGCCTCCTCAAAAGGGGAGTGCAAGAGGAGGGCGAGTATGTAAATCAGTGTCTCAAAATGTAGCCCAGTGCGCAGGCAGTGAGCTGGGTAGAGGGCCTGAGCCAGTGCGGCTCTGCCTTGGAAACTCATGCACACACACACAGGCATGTACACACAACGTGGGCACACATGCAGAGACACGTGGGCACACATGCACTATGCACATGAACACATGCTTGCACTCACACCCCATGAGCATACACAGACACACGAAGTACACATGAAGACATGCACAGACATGCACACACAGACCCGTGCAGACTTCTGTGTGCACATACACACACAAACACACGAGCACACACATACACAGATCTACATGCTCTACAGCTCGCACAGCCACACGCATGTGCAAGCCTTCATATACACAATATTCCTGCGGATACAATGTATGCTGGTTAGACATGCATCGAAACATCTACATCCACAAATGCAAACGCATATGGGCCCACACCATGTGCACAGATGTGTGTCCGTTGCACACCCAGGCCTGCATATGCAGAGACACATGTGCGTGTGGCAAATACAGGTGTGCAAGCAACACGGGCACAGAGTCATGCTTGCGTGCCACCTGCATGCCACATGCCCACAGGCGAGACACGTGGCAAAACAGAGGCATGCGTGTGCAACATGCGGCCCACCACCCACACACCTGCTCACGGCGGCCTCCCCGGCAGCCATGGTCGCGCTGTTTGTCATGTGGATGAAGCGGCGGGAGAAGGAGGCGGCCACACGAGGCAGCTGCTCGATTGACCCGAGGACGGACGTCCTGCCGACAAATCCTAAGTATGACGAGGAAGTGGGCCGCTTGGAGGAGGAAGCCGGTGTGAGACATGGCCCGCCTCTGCCGCTCCCCAAGGGAGGGCCAGCTCTTCACGTGACCAGTGTCTCAGCAGGGCTTGCCGCTCGGGTTTTAACAGTAAGACATTCAAAACCTTTTTTCACCTAGTTAGGGCGCCATCAAGGGGGAGGCAGTTTCCTTATGTCCGACCGCCGCGCCCACGTTTTGCATGTCTAGCCGGGCTGAGCTGGTGCGCACACTGCACCTGCATCCCCCACCAGGGGATCCTTGTGACCTCCCCATCCTCTCCGCCTTCCTACCCTTCCACTGGCCGCCGCTGCCAGGTGCCTGACCCCATGCCCCTGGAGGGAGGGGCGGCTTGCTGGGTTGGCAAGGATATCGGATTGCCCCACTCACACTGATTGCTGCGTGTGCGGGGTCTGGTCGAGTGAGGCAGGGCAGTGGGCCCGGGGAGGGTAGACTATGAGAGTCTGCTTGGTTGGAATCTGGGTCTGGCCCTTTGGCCTTTCAGGGGAAATCGCGGGCAGAGTCCTTAAACGCCATCTA